AATGAAGCCAGATTTCAAATGGCATCTTTTTCATTAAAAGGAATTTAGTCACTGCGTTTACAACTATCGCCTCATTATATCCAGTATTAGTTTAGATAAAACGACGCTAGATTACTTTAGGTTGAATGAATATACATGTACTTACTTCTCTTTCTAAAATAAATGTGTACATGTTTACACTGGTAATTTAATCACATGTAGTCCAAAAAAGGTGTTATTTGGATCATACACAGAACGAGAAAATAAAAAGACAAACTAGTGTACCGTAAAAACTCGTTTAATTTGCGGTCTCTATTAGTTCGCGCACCCATTTTATTTTCGAACGCTAATTTTTAAATGTATCCTTTTAATTCGCGGCGTTCAAAAACATTAAAAATTGTATCCTATTAATTCGCGGGCCAGAATAAAGTGGATAACTCAGAATATATTGCATGAAGACATTAAAAATACACATAATTTTATGTTATCAGAACTTGGTGTCGCCGCATTCGCAGATGATCTCCGTCATCACAGCCTTTCAGTTAGCAAGCAGTTTAGGTTCGGTAAAGATTTGACGTGAAAAAAAATCATTCCCCCACGACACTACAGATGTTGGGCAGGATTATTACTTAGTCGATAAATATCCATCGGTCAGCACATCGATTACGAATTTCCGTGATGGAAAGCTTAGTACAGGGCTTTTTTGTGGCTGGTCCACAGGGTTGCATCGACCATGTGCCCGCCATTATTCTATTACGTCATTTAAGTGAACCGCCCTATGGTGCGTAAATTGACATTTTTGATTGGTCGGGCGATTGACCTCGTGTTACATTTTCATTATCCCAGTGCCGCACGTAATTCAAACGCGTGGTTATTAGAGTTCAGTCGAAATGTACGTGAAAAATAACGCGATCGAAGTCCGCTGCCCAGAGTTTATTATAGTAAAATTTAATTTGACGTATGGTATGTTTATGTTTGCGTAATTATTATGAATGCAACGCATTATCAAGTCGGTGATATTGAAATATTCACAGACCCAATACCCCGGGTCAGTGCCATAACAATAGTTAAAAAAAACTAATTATCATGAAAGCAATACATAACAGAGTACAGAGCCGGTACAATATTGTAAACAAATTTGCGTAATTAGAAAAGCAGTGCACTAAGTAAACGACGTTCAAGTTGATATATTCAAGCCAGTACAGAGTTGCATACAAGTTGCGTAATTACAGTACCTTCGGATATAATAACAATTTTACTAGTTTGACGCGCGGGGCACGAAAGAAAAATGGTTGCTAAGGTAACGCACCAGTTCAGTGCGTGACTTGGGGTCAAACTTCGGTCAACACACATTGCACAACAAGTTTCGCAAAAAAGTACTTTAAGTTCAATTGTGTTCCAAAATGATGTCGCTGATCACTCAGTTGTCGCAGTGTGTGTGTTGTGTCATGTCCATGATGCACCCCGTTTCGAGTTTGGCTTGCTTTTCCTTCTTAGTGATGCGACCTCTCACCAATGTATTAAAACACTTTGAATATATACTTTGCATGATTATATTTGGTCAACGCGAAACATTTTTTCTAAACACTTTCTGAGACCATTTTTATCAACGCAGGGTTATTTTTCCAGACAAGATGGGCTTCGTAATATCTGCCATAACATCGCTCGGGCGATGTCTAGAAAAATAAAAAAGGCAGTGCAGCCAGACGGATACTTTGTAGCCACGTGTTCATTGTTTGTTTGTGTACAGAGTGACCTTTGCCATTTCACTGTTTCATTTCAAGTGTAACATGGTGCGTGGTCCTTGGCGCAGTGCGTGTTCTCTGCCCGACTATACGCCATGAATCGATCAAAAAGTACTCTTTTAATTCGCGCACCAAAAACCAATAATTTCCGTTTTTAAGCTATTAATACGTGCACTTGAAAAAATAATTATTTTTACTACTGCGAATTAATCGAGTTTTTACGGTATTATGTAAAGTGTCCTCTCTAGATCAGTGCATGTATATTTAACAACTCTTGTGGTACATACAAAAAAGCTCAGTTCAGCTAAAATTCACTCGCCTGACAGACTTGTCTGTCGCGTGCCAAAACAAATGCGCAGTTATCACCTCTGTAAAAACAAAGAAAAACTGTCAAGTGTAATTTGATTCTGTTCGCAATGATAAAAAACTCGTTCAACAGGGATTTGAAAAATCGGCTATCGCTGCTGCGTTACATTCAGAACATTGACCTTTTATATTGGGACTCAAAAATTACAAAGTACTACCAATTTCCGTAATAATATATCAGTATCACTTCATTTATTTATTTTCATTGAAATAATGACCACAATGAATACGTTTATTTTTTATCATGACAGTATGTTTTTTTGTATTGTGTGTGGAGAAAAAAAGATGTTGTTTGGCAGCCACTTCGAATTTATAATAAAGTCATTAGCGTCATCTTTTATTAGCGAATCAGTTCTCTCGCTAAATTCGCTAAAAAGACATGCTCGCGAAAAAAACATTATTTGTCATGATGGAGACACATTAATAGAAATGGAATACATTCAATAATTGTCAGTTATTATGACCTGACACAGTGTTGAAACCTGGTGAAGTAAGACGTTATAAAGCAAAGTGTCACGCATACATGTAACAATGAATTATAAATTGTTATAAATGCAAATACTAGTACGCATTTGAGGATTATTTTACAACTCACAATTTTGTAAACAAGTTACGTATACTACATAATATGTGTCATGTCACTAATTTGCAGCTTTACAATATTGCAACAAGAAAGTGATGAACAACAAGATCATAGTATTTTACATAATCTCTAAAAATGCCAAGTCATTTTTTTAATTTTTATTATTCCTTAAGCAACCCCTGCAAGCATTATCCTCGGTAAACAAAGAAATTTAAAGTCATATTTCATACATAGGAAAGTGAAACCTTTTCCTACATGTGAGTAATCATTATTTTGGCAGTGTAGCCACATTACCAGTTTCCGCAACAATTGCTGGGCCTTTATGATTATAATATAAAGCTATAAAACATATTTCTAGTTCTTTTTTTGCTTACTCACATATATCAACATATCTTATTTATTTAGGACTGTACAAACATTACAAAATATATTAAAATATATATCAAAAGGATGAGTACACAATGCAGGAAGTCAATCTTCTATCACTGATATCACAAACACATGGTGTAGTGGCTAATGGTTACATTACACAGACCATCCATCTAGGATATTACGATCAGCGACAACTTGTAGGATTATATTTCTTGTTATTGACAATTAAAACAGAACCAAAGGAAACGAATCACTATATTTCTTTGAAATCAAAACCCGTCCTGGGGCTAAACCTAGATGAAAGGATAGATCATTGTGGGTGGATGGATAGTGAGAGTGCATGGCTTGTTGTTGAACAGAATAATTCAGTTCTACTGCTAACTGATTCAGTCTGGGATGATACTATTAGATGTTTTATTGCTTTGTGAATGTTCACATTTGTTGTGGATAACCACTGAATCTATCTGGATGTGCAAAGACCTTAAATGTACCTTTCATTGATTTTATGTTTAAAATTTATTTGGCCGGAAAATCTAAGACTAAATTGAGCATTTAATATAAAGCTTTGTATTCAAAAAGTAACCTGATTCAGCGTTTGAGCCTACGAAATAATAATTACATAATGAACTATACTGATTTTTTTATTATTTATTTACTATACTCAGTAAATATTAACTAATATTCCCACCCTTCACCTCGGAATAAGGAGAGAGCCCAAGATCCTAGTCTTATTTGTCAACGAGCCAACAAATTTCCGTACGTCAAGGATATTCACGAAATTGGCAGTGACAATTTCTGTGGTTCTATGTCATGCAGTATCTGTGATTTTAATACGAAATTTTGTCTTCAAGAATGTTATGATGGTGGTTTAGATATTGGAGAAAACAAGAGTTTGTATTTAAAACTGCAATGAGTAGTCAAAAAATTATTGTGTTGAAATCACATTTCTACTGTAATCACCTTATTGTTTCAAACACAAAAAAACGTCAACATAGCCAGGCAAGTTTCTGACTGGTTTGCTATGCACACCTGGAGATCTTAGAACAAATTGGGTCAAACCAACCTCAACAGGAGATGACAAACTAATAGTGGGAACTTGGACATGTTGAATATAAATAGAAGATTTATTTCATTCAATCGTAAAAAATGCTATATAATGAATGGCAAAGTTATCCAAACAAAATATATGTACTGACTTATAGTCTGAAATGTCAGGACACAGTCGCTGGTGTGCCAGTGTCATAGCAGTCGTAAATGCACGTATTTAGCCAAATGGCACTCTTTCATACAAATGGTATGAACTAACAAGTTGTAATTAACGATCATGAGAGTGAATTGAAAACCAGTCAGCAACTTAGCTGGCAATGTTGCTGTTTTGGAGTCAGAACAATATGGAGGTGACAGTGTGTATATGTGTGAAATTTTGAAGCTAATCACTTCCGAAAGACAAATTATTTCACATGAAGAGCATGACGCCAAGTTGCATTAATATACATGCACCGACCTTCAAGCTCAGCGAACGTCTACAAGAAGCCCATTCATTTTTACATACAAATTATATGACATGACTCGATGCCAAATCCGCAACTGTAACTTGCAAAATTATATTTGACAGACACACTACACGCATGAAATAGAAAATGAAATAGAGAAACACGGCGATTTACATTTATGATTGGACACTGTCATGGTCATAGGGAGAAGCATGTCAAAACACGGTTGACCTTACTGATTGTCCCGCGAGAAAGGCATGGACCGAGAACCAGCCTGGCCTAAGTGCGATCAGCTGATATACATGTATCTGTAACCGGTACCAAAACATCGATATACTTTGAACGCAAAACATATATTCAAACAACCGTCAACCACCCAGAGAAAATATAGGAATGGATCGCAGTTGAGCATCGCGGAAAGCACGCTGCTACCAAAAAATATGTCAACAGAACAGGCTTTACCTTGTTATTGTACTCTTCGACGAAACTCCCCACGGCCAGACGAAACCTTTTGTCTGGACGAACGCTCCAATTCATACTGTAAAGCGTCCATGGTGCCTCGTATTTATAGATCTCTTTCCTCTTGTTCGGAACGGCTATACTAGCCGACATCTTGATTAAAAGCCTCCTGGCAAGCGACACAAAGCTGCAACTCACTCAATCCACGTCAATGCAAAAAATGAACTATGCTGACAGTACAACAAAGATGGCGGAAATTATCAAATGGCCTCGTTCTCGATTACCCTCGAACACGGTTCTGAACAAAATTACAATCTTGAAAACAAGCCGATTTTAATTTGCATATTTTCATGATTTTCACTGATTAAATTTATAGAATAATTCTAGATTCGGAAATCCAAACATGGTCTAGTGCAGTGACGTACGCCTCTCCACTGATTACCATTGGTACTAGTACATGGAGTAAGTAAATTATCAAGTGTCGTCGGTGGTGGCGCCCTATAAACAATTCCAGGCGCCAGAAGCAGTGATCAGACCCGGGATATTGGCAGACACAAAATTATATCCTACTAAACAGAGGTCACTAAATATAAGACAGAGAATAATTTGAAAATAAAAAGGCGCAAATTAATGAAATAAAATTATCAGATTCGGACATGTATTGATTCAATCTTGCCACATTATATAAATATTACGGTGCTATTAAATGATAGAAAAAATAAAATGCAAAAGATGCAATAAAAATATTATTAACATAGACTCTAGTGAATGTTTTATGGTCATAATGACTTCAAGCATTTTTAAGGTCGTTTTTGAGTATTATAACGGTTACTCATATTTTCATATTATAATCTTATTCTACATGAAGCTACTTTTTGGGCAAAAATGCCTAAAATATGAAAACGGCAATATTTAATCAATTTGACATTTGTTTCTGCAGGGAAAAATCTCGCAATATCTGAAACATATCATAAAAAAACAGTATACGAATAATTCTGTCACAAATTATTAGGGGATTCTGTGGAATACAATATATTTTCCATGAAATACAGCGTTATAAGGGGTCAACGATATCTCAATATATTTGATTACATTTGTATACAACATTATGTTAAAAGTGACTATGGTGTGATAGTAGTCGTCGTGCATTGGCATTCAAATTTTGTATAAAACAAATAATATGAGGTTGTTGAGAGAACACCGCAAAGTATGCATAAAGGCAGTACAGCGATTGTATCAACTGCCATATAACAGACAGTACTGCCTGAATGCAAATGTTGCGTTATTCTTGTGATAAGCTTATTATTATACAATATCTTATACATATTCGAAACAAAAGTGAGCAGACTAATTTGTAGCCCTGTCTACGAAAGGGTGATTTTGTTTGGTGGATGATGACTTTTCTTGGCCTAGATTGGCTCTCGCATTTGACCTTGCTTCAGTCCTTCAATAGTTAATTAGTATGCAAATTAACAACGTGAAGATTATTTCCAAAGTGCCAGTAATGTACAACTACCCAGATAATATGCAAGTGTACCACATTTGAGCAAACGTTGGTATCAACAAAACATGCTGAAAGTAGTTAATAGTATGCAAATTGCTAATCAACATATTCAGGTTAATTCCAAAGTACTGATGGAATATGTTCGCACACAATCTACATTAAAAATGTTCGCATAATGTGTTCATAGAACAAAAAAGCAATATAAAATGAAGCAGGGCATCATGGGAATTCTCTAGTTAACTGAGCATAAACCACGAAATGACGAGTGGCAAAGCCACATAGTCTGTTAAGTGACAAGTTCAAATAAGTGACAAAGAAGAAATAAAAATGAAAGGGACCTAAAATTGAGGGGGGGGCATCAATGCACTGAATATCGTAAATTTTATTGTATTTCCAGGGCGGTCTTCTAACGACTTTACACTGTATCATCATATATTTTGTTGAGGTTTAGATGACCAGGGATCATTATAAATTGCAGTAATACTACAAAATGGCATCTGAAATGTGAAGGGATAGGGTCTAGGACAATGAACTGTTGCCAGTATCACGTAATTAACTTGTGTGAGGTTCCCTTTCCAATAGGCCAAATCAAATTAATTTTGTGTTTCCGGTAACTCTAGCTACCCATATTTAAGATGAAAGTGACTTGTTTATTACTCACATTATTTAGCATATTATTTATTATAATATAGAAATCTATAGAGTATAAAATTTAAAAAATGAAAATTCTTAATACAAACTCAGTATTTTTTCTAAATGTTACCGGAAAGACCAAATTTGATTTATTTAGCCATAAGTAAAACACATGTTCAAGAGTAATGTATTATCATGGTTATTTCTTTTTTTGATATTTTCAGAAATTTAATATGCATGGCAACCACTTCAAAACAAAAATAAGTTACTGAATTGAAAATTGATTCACCACAAATGAGAAAACTGAGGAGAATAACAGTTGGGTTAATACAACTTGCATGGAATTTTATAATCTAGCTGCACACACTGCTCTGATATACATTGCCACCTGTTGCTGTTTTTATATGAAAAATTTGACTCCCATCTTTCAAGAGAGTATTGTGATTTGTAATTTTATTTTTCTTGTATTTTATTAATTTAGAAAATTATGAGCATGGTCCTGTAAGTTGGAATAAAGTTATGGTTGTTTATTATAAAGATGAGTCTGCACTCAAGTAAATTCTACTAATTCATCTTGACACATTCAGTAAATTTTGAATAAAAAATCCCAATTTACTAAAGACGAAAGTATAAAAATAATGCTACATTTCTTGCCATTGAGGGCGTTTTGTATTGAAAAGTGGAAAAGTAAAAAAAGATAACTGTTACCGTCGTCCCACCACTATAAGGAACTATAATCAACTGTATGCAGTCTCTATGAGCCGGGGGGAGGGGGTGGGGGGGTGGCCCGAACGCGCAGCACAGTTGGAGGCGTGGGCTATTCAGAATTTGTCAAGAACCAATCACAAGATGACATTCGCGATTTGATGAATTGCATCACTGTTAATGTTGTAGCGCATGCATTTAAGTCACCGGTTGTATTATCTGTTAAACTGTTTATTGATAAGTAATTAAAATTAGTAACATGCTTGTCTTAACAAATCTTAAAATGAACAGAATGTTATTTCATTCTAAAAAAGAAATCTTGAAGCTACTGTGGAATACTTTATTTTCGCTGAAAAGGCTTTTTGGGCGTTTTGTATGAAATTTATTTTCACTGATTTTTGATGAGTTTAATGTGAAAGATAGGAAAAAACGTATAATCGCTGGATTTTATTTTCACTGAATCATCCCTTCAGCGAAAATAGCGAAAATAGCGTATTCTACAGTATAATACATTTAATAATCATAATATTTACACTTATTTTCAAGTATAGGTTTATAAGAAATATGAGGGAACTGCCAGCTTATAAACATTGAAAACACAAACACAGATAGCCTCAAACATTCCAACATTCTAAAAAAGCTTTTTTTTTCAGAATACCATTGCATGTCCAAATGTGCAGATCCAACTAACTTAATTAGCAATTATACACTGAATAATTTGATGGTGCCACATGAATCCAATGTTTGTAAGATTGTTTTGAAAAACCACCACTGCTAAAAACGGCTATACTAAGATAATATAGCCAATATTTTCAGGACATTGTCTGATACATTTGCATATCAGAGGTTACAGGGTAAAGTATACTGCACAAATCAATATGGTGAAATATCTTATTGAATGATAAATTGCAAATTGCACATTATATTTTTTAAGCACAAGATCCCAGTGACCAGAGGGACATGGTCACAATTGACCAATCATTACAATTGTTGAATACGATTGAATGTAACAATTGTAGATACATACTTATAAAGATATTTTGAAATCCTTCCTACTTCACATTAACATAAAATCTTATTAGAAGCCGCATCTCTAATAGAAGTCACACCCATTCTTTTTGAACAAACAAGAAGCAAACATTCACCATTTCTCATAT